ACAATAAAAATAATAAGGTCATATAGATCATAACACAGTCTCGGAGGTAAGAAGTGGATTATCCTTCACCTGAAATGTTTGTCTTTTCATCCTGAAGTGCGAGGCAGATGTTGGATCACAATAATTAGGAACCACAGTTTCCACAAATCCCTTCGTTTGATTGGGATGTTCTCTTTTATTCTGGAGGGCAAGGGCAGTGACTGTACTATAGAGCGTATTTTGCAGCATTAAACACGTATTTATACCGATTTCATCAGGCTCTGAAAATTCTTCAAAAAGAACACAAAGAATGGCCTTCTCAGCTGCCATAGTTGCAACTCTTGCGTCATCAGAGCAGGGTGTTCAATGCATCACCGTTTCCGTTTAAAAAACGTTTTGCACCGTTTTTGTCGGGGCTGAACGCACCCCTGGTGTCCTCTACAGAAGGCATGTGTGAAAATGATGCCCTGTTTCATAACTAGAAGTCAAATTCCAATTTGAAACCCCATAACATTTTTCTGAAATATTTATTTATGACAAACAATTTGAAAATTAGTACGATTTAAATTATAAATACAAAATATTATCATATTTCCCTAAGAGCACTAAATTTGATCATTCTGTCAATATCAGTCATTTTTAAAGAACAAGGAGAAGGTGTGTTTATGATCAAACCTCCAAACATTTGATATCCCTAAAAAGCCCTGAATGTGTTCTGTACAGGACATCCAGACTTAAAACTGTGGCGTGTATGGTCTCAGAGAAATTACTCTACAGAGGACAAAAGCCTATACCTGGGTCGCAGGAGAAATATATCCGCACATATTTTAGATTGACAAAAAGCTGCAAGAGGAATTAAATTTTTTTAGTTGGTTTTATACACTGGCGCTTTTTTGCATTTGCATTTTTTATGTTTAGATTTGCATTTCCAGTGTTTGCAAAGCAAAAAAAAAAAAAGACCTATGGAGTCAAAACAGAGCCACATATGGGAATTAAAAAAAAAATCTGTATGCAAATAAATGTAATTATGTAATTACTATGGCATCACTGAATAGCAAAAATTCAGTCAATGTCAGTGGAAGATTTTTTTTGTTCAAATTTTGAACTTTGAAGTAACAAATTACATAAATATAAACCAGAAATAGATAGCACGACTAAAACGGCAGTCTCCAAAACAAAGATTTATTGCAAGATAAAAATGGAAAATGTCAAAACACAACAATCCTAGTGTTATCCTAAGCTGTGCTGCATATCTGAAATTGTCTTGGCAAGTCTGGTGTTGTTGTCAAACTCTTTACAGCCCAGATATATATCAACACAGGCAGAAGAGCACATGTAGGGGTGACAGGGGTGATATGGTGAGACATGTCAAGCTAAATTGGGTGTGCTTACAACAGGACCGCAGCCATAGTATGCTATTCTTAGCCGTCAGTCTTAGAGGAAGCTGAGACCTGTCTATATTTGTGTCTTCAGATGACATATTGACATTGTTTTCATGTTGACCTCTCATTAGCAGACTGGACGGGTGAGCACTTGCACCTTATGAGGGCTCTTTAACATTATGATGGACACTCACAACTGCTGTCTTTTTGTGGTGACTTAAAAGGTTTCTGGGTGTCCTTAAAATATTGCAAGACTTTTCCAAGTATGGGCATGCTGTTAAACCTGTAGGTAGATTTTATTTAAAGTGTGGAGCCGGTTCAAACTAAGTTTACAACTGAAAGTAACATGTTTTTCTTGTAATATGCCATGTGTGCACAATACACTACACGTGCGCTATCTGACCCTTGACACTGCCATTCAATGCAGGCTGTTCTTATTTGTTTTAGACACAACAGAGTTGTTGACAACATAGTGCTTGTGCCTTGCTGTCTGTGTGCTGTTACACAGTACCATATAAATACATAGCTTAGTATGCAAAGTATCTAACAAATTACAAGTTCTATAATTATGCTTCAATCAATTACAAAAAAATCTTTGGACATCCTTTGCACTTGGAGCAAATGTTTGCATTTGAACTACTGTACATGATTAGGGTTCCCTCTGCTGGTTGTGCATGATTTGTGCAACCATGATACTACCGTACTGATGTAAAACTACTCTATGTTCTGTAGATAAAATGCTAACTTCTTATATCAGTCACATAATACCAGACACCAACAGTAATATGTTTGTGATGCAGAATTGAATATTACCATAACATGTTATTTTGCCATATTTTCCATTATTGTAGCATTGTACGTAAAACACTTATAGTAAATAGCTTTTTAAAGGTAAAAAAGTTAAAGTAAAAAAATAAATAAATAAAAAAAGGTGAAAATGTAATATGCATCTGAAATGCTATTTAATATTTACATTATAAATCTGTATTTATAATAATTAAAATGATTTAAGTTTAAATACAACATAAATGATTTCTTAAAGCATTTT